TTTTCAGACAAAGGGATTTATTTCCTTTTCCCCTTATATCTTAAGGCTCTCCCCTCAGTGCTGATAGCACCCCTAAAGCCAGAGAACGTGGCCCTGTAACACCAGAGTTGCCTCTAGTATAGCAGTGAGAGTGGGCAAGCTCGTCTGAGGATGTGCTCACTGTGGAGAGCTGCTTTCAGGGTTCAACTTCACCAAGGTAAAACAGGGGAAACATCGGGAGTCCTCCACCTCGGAGGACTTATAAATATAAGCAAGTCCCAGCACCACACTGTAGAAACAGCCCCAGAAACTTAAACACACCTCATTTATTCAGCCAACTGTGACTACAGTTCCTTATGCAGCTTGAAAAAGCAGCACTTTTCCTCCCATCATCACTGTTCCTAGTCATGATGTTTAATTTTTAATTTCTAATATTATTACAGAAGGGCATGGCTTTTTCATGCTTACAGAGGGAGTCTGTATGGTCAGGCCACCCAAGATGGCTGTTCTCTTGCTCTCTGTACATCCCCCCTGCTGGGCCAGTGCCTGCTTCATCTAATCTTTAGCAAACATCTCCACCTGATAGCTCATCAAAGGGGAGGTGAGGGGCGTGCCCCTCGGCTGGTTTCCCTGGTAACTGATGAGCCAACCTGATGTCAATTTCCACTATAAGTGGGAACCTCCCCCTCTCCTTCCTGGGGAGCGAAGCCTGCTGCCGTGTCCTGCCCGCCGGCCGCCGCACACAGTGGGGTGTTGCTCCAGGGCCTTGCTTCAGACAGGTAAGCTCCCCCGTCCATTAAACCGTGATGTCTCCGTCGCCGACTCTGGGCCCTTTCTTTGGTCTTGTAGCTGGGCAAGTACAGGCCTTGTAGGCCTGCGGGGTGCAGCCCAGTTGGTAGAGCCACCGGGGAGACCGAGGAAGCTCGTGTGAGCGCCGAGACATCAGGAAATAAGGACGCGCAACGGAAAGTTGCAGGGGCGTCACCTAGCATGAGGGGCCTGAAAGTTCCACGGGTGATCCTGAAAGTTGCAGGGGAAATCCCGGGGTGGCCGTCCGCTAGTATGTGGGGCCCTAGGGTGGCTGGCCTTGATGAATGGGGCTGCCAAGACAGTACCGAGGACTCATAGTCACCCCAAGGCCATGGCGGAGGTATTGGCGCCATTACGGTGGGAAAACGAAGCGGCCGCAGCTGTGGGCTGGCAGGTGCGTTTTATACCGAGAAAGGCCACAGAGGCTGAGCTAACAGCTGAGGTGAAGGTTAACTTGAACGCCGGTTGTTTCTCCTCTGAAAGTGAGGCATGTGCATGTGAGTGACTGATACGTGTTATTATTGCCTCTTACTGTTGTTTAAACTAAATTGGCTTTTTAGAAACTGAAAAAAAAAAATCCCTGAAAATGTCCACGATGGGACTCTTTTGACATTCTAAAACTGGTTTTTGCATATGCCCTTAGAGGAAGTTAGCTTTCTAGAAGGAATTGGTATTTCTCTTCCTGTGCCTTTGCGATGTAAATGATCTACCTGGGCTCTCTGGAACTTTAATCACCTTTTATCTTTTTTTTTTTTTTAATTGAAGTAGAGTTGATTTACAATGATGTGTTAGTTTCAGGTTTACAGCGAAGTGATTCAGGTATACATTTATCTATTCCTTTTCAGAGTCTTTTCCATTAGTTTTTTTGTAAGATATTGAATATAGTTCCCTGTGCTATACAGTAGGACCTTGTTGTTTATCTATTTTATATAGAGTAGCTTGTGTCCGCTAATCCCAAACTCCTAATTTATCCCTCCTCCCCGCCTTTCCCCTTTGGGACCCATAAGTTTGTTTTCTATGTGAGTCTGTTTGTTCATTTGAACCTTTTTTTGGGATTCCACACTGAGTGATATCGTACGATATGTCTTTCTGTGTCTTCACCTAGTATGATGATCTCAACATGGGTCCACCCATGTTGCTGCAGATGGCATTATTTCATTCAAAAAGAGGCCTTTTAAAATTTTAGCAGGAAAACTGTGAGATCTCTTTGTCTATATATGTAAATGTGTGTCTCTGCGTACCTTATAAATATGAAGTGTCTGCTTCCAAATGGCATTGCCAAGATTGGTTTGTGGATGAGCTGTTTAATTGGCTTAAAAGAAATTAAACGCTTATGTAAATTCTCAGAAATATAAAAAAGACTGGCTTGAATGAATTTCAGGTTCATGTGGCCTGGGAAATATTCAGTACTGAATTGGTATCTGGTATTGAAGCTAGCTTAAGTTTGTTGGTTTGATTAACATAGACATGTCTTTAGAATCATCAATATTAAGTATAACACTTCTGTTGTACCTAGGTTTACTAGAGATCAAATGACACCTTACTGTATCTGTTGCAAATACGTCAGCAAGGAAAATAACTTGATATGATGAAACTTTAGGTAAACATAAATAAGAGCTTTTAGGTAAACTCTATAGGAATAATTACATTTTGGGAAGGTCTATCTAAAATAGTCTTTCCAGATTTTGGTAACTTGAAACTAAACCAAGTTAAGAGAATCCACTGACTACCTGCGTCATTTCAAACAGGATAAAATACTGGAACATTAATTGCTGGGCAGGTCTAAATTTACCTACCTTTGCTTTCTTAGGAGAGGAAGACTAGAGCATAAGTTTTCCAATCAGGAAATGCTGGTACGACAAACAGTTCACAATTACTTGCTTCTTGGTTTATGCTGGTGATTAAGGTTTTCAAGGGTTGAGATTATCACTGGTCATAATTCTAGTTATTGTAACCAAGTTTCTTTATGAATTACATTGTAGTCAGATGTTTAACCGTGCCTTTTTAAGTCTTCTGTCATTTATAGGAAGTTACTGTTGTACTCTGATGCTTTTGCAAAAGAGTTTCATCTTCAAGATGATCCATAGGAAGGCCCTTTTGACAAGTACAGGTCTCTGATAAATTTTGGATCATACTACTGAACTGGGTAAGATATTAAAAAATCCTAATGGAAAACCTGAGGCTTCATAAAAAGTTAATGGATCGGTTACTGAGTGAACTGGTGAATATTGGTTATAATTTTTATGGTTTTTGTCTGGAATATTACTGGTTTTGATCTGTGTTTTCCAGATATAGGGAAGTCCTTCCTCTCAAGTTAGTTTTGGGTAGAATGGAAGCATTTTTCTCTTCTCTCTGCCTGGTCTCTCCAGACACTGGAGACTCTTGGGTTCTGAGCAGCCTTATCAGGTGAATGGGAAAGACTGTCTCCTGGCATGTGCAGGAATCACGATGTTTTAGGGATTCTCTAGAAGAGAGAAGTCCACTGAGGTGCAGGCTAATAGCAGGCCTTTGGCATGGCTTTCCTGGCTTTGAGAGGCCTTTTGGGAATTCAGTCTGAGACTACTTCTGAATTCCACCACAGCCAGGTAGGAGGACCCTATGTGGTCAATTGACCAGACTTATTCTGTAAACAAATTTTGTCTTGATTTGGCTGCGTTTCATGGAGATGAGGGTAATTTTAGGGAGGAAAATTTGTTTCAGTGGATGTTAAATTCTAGTTCTGCTAATTGTCTGCATTAATGAAAGTTATTGTGTTAGCCATACTTTTGCCTTGATACTCAGGATGGAGAGAGAATTCTCTAGTGAAGTTGTCACAGAGTATAACTACTCATGACATGTACCAGTGCTTGCTCTAAGTCTTCAAGCAAGTAAAATCAAATCTGAGGCTCTGACATTAATGGTTGCGGTTATTAAACTTTATTATATTTTAAAATCTAAAAACTGTAAAACAGTATTTATACAAACACCTGAGGACTGTTCAAGTGGCACAGCATCTTCACAATAACAGTTTGAAAGAAGGACAAGTTTAAATTAGAATCTTGTCTTATAAGACAAAAGAAATAACACGGACGAAAAAGCCCTTTAAATCGTATACGCCCAGTAAATAGTTGCATTTGCTTATAAAGTACACTTGGTTTTCTAAAAAGAAGACGTACAGTCTTACCCCTGGTGAACATCTTATTGGCATTTATAACAAATGGCTAATACAATTTTAGCACCATTTTTCATAGCTTATAACATTACACTAAATATTATACAACGATGTAATAAATAAAACAACAATGAACATGTTCCATGTGAAAGTTCTGATTTTTAAAATAAAGTTTAAAATGACAAATCAGAACTGACGTACCTTCCAAAGTTTAGTAGGATAAATGGCTCAGAAAGGAAATTAACTAGAAACATTGCACAAGACAGAACTTCCCTGTATGGAAACCCTGAAGTGTGAGCTGAGAGGTACCAGTGATGTCAAACGATGTGCATATGTTTTACAGACTAAAAAAACCCACTATATGTAGAGTTGATCTTTACCTCTGTGGAAGTGTAAAGTGCCATTTTAAATGTAAAAAGAAAAGATTTACTTGTGTGTATACTTCAGATACAGAACAAAATATAAATATGAAACAGTAGCCATATGAGGAATAAACAGATAATAAAACACATCTTTAAAAAACTTGGACATAGGCATCTTCATGGAGAGATGTGAACAATGAATGCCTAGTTAAATGTTGAAGCTTAGACAAAATAAGGAAGTTTTAAAATAAAACATTAATTGAAAAGAATATAGTCAGGCTCCATCCAACCCACCCTTGTAGTGTACTATCTCTTGCATAAAATGACTATCTACCTTATAATTTTTTTCATTAGAGAACCCGTCAATCCCTCCCTGACTACTTTCCCCTTTGGGATTTGGCTGTTTTGGTTTTACATATAAACATTAACCAAAATCAAAGGTGTTTCTCTGTTTCCTGCATGAAGTGTATCTGTAAACTATGCAATGAAAATAATGAAAAGATACAAAGAACAAACCACCAGTTTGACTATGCTAGTGCTAACGTGTTCAATGGCTTCTGAAGAAGTAGACTGGACTGTCTGAGGGTTCTGTGATTTTGGATACACCGTATTTTAGAGGAACCTTCTACACAACAAAAACTTCTAAGGGCAGAGAGAAAAGATGGCACTGGTCTCCCTAGAACTAAGTCCAATCTAATCTACACACGTTTTAAATTGTTGAGGTATTTGTCTTGTTTAAGCGTTTCAATGTAGTGGCACAGCTTCACAGCTGTCCCCAGCTTAAGGCCCATGTACTTCATCATCATGTCACTCTTGAGCAGTAGCAGAGCTTTCCCATCAATGTCCTACAGAGAGAAGGAAATTAAAATAATTAATAAAGCTTTCATATTTTATCAGAATGGTTATTCCTTTCTATGTAAGAACAGGTAACACCAATTAGAGGGCAGCTCATTCCAGATGTATATGCTCTGAATATGCAACTGCTTGATGGAAACTATTAAAAATCTAATTTGTACAGTGAAGCATCACTTAATCATCTGTAAATTTGCTTCAAATTTTAAGAAAAAGGAAATTTAACCTAATATCTTAAAAACGTCCTAAGCATCAAACTACCTAATTTTAAATATCGTGTGTTGAACAAAATACTGCATAGCTGTGACAGAAAGTAAAAACTATGAATGGTAAAAATGAATTTCAGATGGTCATTAGCTTTCTTAGAAGGGCTGGGAACATGAGTATGTCAGCGATAAGTGTGCTGTACAGTGCTGTCTTAACACTGAAAGCTAATCAGTTGTCGGAAGCTAATTAGATGCTAAAAACTAATGACTGAATTTCTTACCATATTGAAAAGGGTACATCAGATATGTGGGCACTAATTTTATTCATTAGGAAACACTATAAAAAACATCACTTGATAGTCACAAGGTATCCTCCAAATGTAAAAAAGAATTAATTGACCAAATGATGCTGCTGAAGCATATTATTTGGTTTTCACAAGTTCTGGCTTAAAAATAAAACTGTACTGAATCATATATCACTGGCTGAAGGGACCTGAAATCCCTCACAGTACTGCCTTTGTGAGGTACCATCTATACATTTTCTACTAAGTAAAACTAGAAATTTAAGAAATTAGAACTTAAAATTTAGCCCATGATGTTACTTTGTAAATGGCATAAGGCTATCAGCATTCCAAATCATCAATAACCATATGAGGTCAACAGAACTGAGCCAAATGGAATCAGTTGCTGGATTCATCGAGCATCATAACAAGGAGGACACCCTGTCACAGCTGTGGTCACCCCTCCTACTCATGGTCCTGGGGCCGAGCAGGGAGCAGGTGGGGAGGAGGATCCTTGTAGCTGTTGTTAGAAAGGAGAAGAAACCTGAGAGTGGCCATGCCGAATCATCTTCTCTTGAGAACTTGAAGACTTGTAGTATTTTAGGTACCCGGGTACCCATTTAAAGCACAGATCCAGCCTCCACCCTTTAAGGCTCTAACTTTGGGCAAAGTAAACTTTCTCGCATATGGAAAAATCAGTTGATAGGGTTCCCCCACCATCCACACTAATCAGTATCCAACTGAAGGGCCTGCACAGAGGTCATTCAAAGTCATTACGGCAGGAAAACCGGATCAAAAGATACATTACATGTTGCATGAAGAGGTCGGCGAGGGCGCCTGATATCTGAGGATCTACGCGTTTCAGAAACAGGATCACTTCATCCACAGACCAGGTTGAAGGGTCATCAGGGAAGCTCTGTTTGAGGGCACCCGGGTCGCTTCCAATTGGTGAACTTGGAACTTCAATGGGGGGAGAAAAGACAAATCATACTTGACCTGATCACTATCCTGAAAGAAGAGATGTTAGGTAGGGAGTAATTGTCTCATTCCTGGAACCTTGTGGGAAGTACCCCAGCATGGACCCAGGACTCCAAGGTAAAATCCAGGGAAAGCCTAGACAAAGATGACCTGAGGATGGCAACACAAGAATGTCCCACCTGACCTCCCCCAAACAACAAAAGCAGCTTCGGAAGACACCTTAAAGCTTCAAAGATCATAAAACAGACTGAGCAATCTGAGGCCTCTTGGGCCACAGGCAAAATACAGCAAAAGATCTGTTACTTGGGTTAAATTAGGTTAATCTAAGATAACCTATTGCTCTCTTACTTTGAGAGAAATTCTTTGAAATACTTAATCTCTGTTCTCTTGGTCTCTCCAGATGAGCTTTATTTTACTAGCTAATTGCAATGGAAATCCCCAGAATTTAGTTTTATAATTGCTTAAATTATTCACTTTAATCAATGAATTTCAATAACCCCCATTATCTTTGAGAACCAAATCAGTTCTTTACTGAATCTCTTCCATGGCTTTAAAATTCACGTCTCTCAAGGCTTAAATGTGTATCTGAATTTTGAAAACAACAAGACTTCTGCTCAGCTAGGTCAGAAGTAACTTTAACATTACACTGAATACCTCTTTCAAGTTTCACTGCGTGGTAATAGATATTTTGGTTGAAGGTTTATGTTTAAAAAAGAAATACGTGAGGCATGAAACAATTTAGGTGCTCATACCTCAAAACGTTTTAGGTGTGCCGTTCACTATGTTGTACTGAAACTTCTTTGTGTCCAGACAGGTATTCATTTACTCAGCCAGAGTGCTCGACAGTGGCTTTTGTAATTCGCCGGACCGTCAACACAAATTTGACCTTTGTTCCTGTGAATTAGCCTAAAGTGTACCTTTTCTCTCCTGTCATCTGGGCTCTGGCCATTCTAGGAGCATTTAAATTATTTACACAGGGAGAGGGTAAAGAAAAACAGAGGATAAAAAAAAACTCACAATGGGATCATTATGAGTATTAGTGGAGAAGAGGCCTGTCAGTTGACTGGCACAGTGCAGGCACATCATAGACACTCAAGAAGTCTTAGTCATCGTTCAGAGTGCTGCCCCAAGCTAGTCCTCAAGATGGGAAACAAACAGCTTCCACAGGCTTGCATCAAGGGTGTTGAGGAATATAGGGTAAATAATGCTACTTGTAACATGTGTCAGTTCACACTCACCGAAGCTGGTCGGGACGTAGGGAGGTGAGCCAGCATGGCTGAATCTATCGTTTTCCAGTAAAGGTGGGTAGGTCATGTCAGGGTTATGTGCTGGACTGCGTTCACTCTGGGTCAGCACAGTTGCAGGCTCGGCTGCAGTGGACTGGGTGTCTGAGTAAAGACTGCAGGTGTTGTGGGCCTCTGGACTGTGGCAGCAAGGCACGGAGGAGCCCTGCGTGGGGTCCTCGGGCGAGTAGTACTCCTGGTAGGAATGCCTGGCGAAGGTTGAGGGGACCGTCGGGCTCAGGCTAAGGCCTTGCTCCAGCTCCAGAGCCACGTGGGACTCAAAAGGTGCTTCTAGAGCGTTGCTCTGGGAATCATTTTCCGGCATTTGTACTGGAATAGTGGGGCTATAACTTCCAGGGTAAGAGAATGGAGAGAGACACGCCTTCTTCCTCATTTGCTGGTATCTCATCTTTCTAGAAAGCAGGTAATTATAATCTTTAAATGCATATCCAAGTGGCTTCTGAAATGACACAAACCCAGCATAAACCAACTGTGAGTGAGTGAAAGAGAAAGTAAATAAATAGTAAATACATCCATAATTACTTTCCATGGAAGATTGCTTTATATTATTAAAGATAAATGCTCTATTTTGATTACATGATTTCCTCTTCAACCCTACATTTTAATTGCACTTTATGTGTTACGGTTACAAACATAAAAATACCCATTGTCATACATTTCTCAAACCTAAACTTCAGCATTTTTCAGGCAGAGGTTTAGTCTCCCATCTGCTGCTATAGCAAGTATAGATCAGCCTTGCTTATCTCACAGTTATTAGTTCTCTCTCACTTCTGACTGGCATCTTTAGAAACCAGAAGTTTATTATAGTTTTTTTATTTTTTTTATTTTTTATTTATTTATTTTTAATTATAGTTTTGAAAATATTTTTATAACACTTACACGAGTGTGCCACCATGACTTCATACGAAAACGGTGGATTTTTGTAACCTTTCCATGAATAACATCAAACTTCTTATCCAGGTTTTGAATAGCATCATAGATGACCTATTATAATACAGACTATTAGTAGTTTCTACTTCAAAAGGAAAGGAACATAAAAAATACCATTAAGCCAAAGTCAAAGTCTGAAAGTTTTCAAGCTGTCAGAAATCTCTTGTTTCCCACTTGAGGCCTGGCTGTTGGGGACCCAAGAGCCGAGCCGGCTGAGATAAGGCGTGCCAACCTCCCACTCAACTACTCCACGTCACACAGGCATTTTACGAAGCTTGAATACTGGGAAGTAAATGTACCACAATTCCTATAAGCCATCACATTTATGATGGAGTCATTTTACATCAAGGAAGGTGCTACTTTAGGAAAGAAATTTTCAAATCTGCTAAAAGGCCAAAGAGCCTCTTTCCATATAATGATGGTATAACCTAATAGGCAGTGAGGGGTCCACTCTGGAAAGAACAGTGAGCCAAATACAACAGATGTGACCTTTGGCTTCAGAGTATTTTAAAGTCATGCAATTATCAATTAACCTTACAAAACCTTTGAGTACGTGACCCCTGTATGCCAATCAAGTATGTGACTGATAAAACCGGAGAATTCTTGAAATACACAGAAATTGCATTTGGGCAAAAATACACTTAAAAGGCCAGAACCATTAATTACATCATTCATTCAAAGAAACGTTTATTGAAGGCCTACCACCTGTGAGAACTACTTTGCTAGATGCTGGGAATGTGGACATTAAAAAGAAAAAAAAAAAGAAAAAGAAAAAGGAAGAAAAAACAGCTCCTACCCTAAGGAACTCCCATTTTAGCTGGAGTAAAAAGACAAGTAAAGAGACAAGGTCAACAGAGAAAGTGATCGGCCGCCTGGAACAGTGGATTTCAGTGTGCTCCGTGGACCAGCAGCATCGACACCATCTACGAGCTTGTTGGAAATGAAAAATCTCCCACCTCAGATCTACTGAATTGGGAACTCTGAGATCGAGGGCAGTGATCTGTGTTTCCACAAGCCCTCTAGGTGATTCTGATGCACGATGAAGCATGAGACCCACTGGCTCTCAGCCCTGAATAACTAGCACAGGCTCTAGGGGAACACAGTTGGGTTCAAGTTACTTAACTTCTCTGTTGTTCAATTTCCTTATAAATAGAATTGGGATGAAATCCTCTCTCAGTTCTGTTGAGGACAAAACAACGTGCTACAGTATTAATACCAACATAATAATAATAGCACATGGTGACTGGTCTGATGGTGCTCAACCATCTATTAGTATTATTAGCGCCACGATACAGATAAGAACAAGAAGCTAAGCGTGCACAGAAGAGCAAGACCTAATCCAGGCTGACAGTCGTGGCAGGCTTTTCGAAGAAGTAGGTATCTGTGTTGAGAATGAAAAGATGAGAAGGTGTTCACTAGGTAGAGATGTACAGAGGAGCATACAGGGCAGAAGGAACAGTATATTCTAAAATACCCAACAAATTAGGAGTATGGGATTAACTGATATAAACTACTATACATAAAACAGATAAACAAGGATTTACTGTAGAGCACAGAGAATTATACCCCAAATCTTATAATAACCTATAATGGAATATAATCAGCAAAAACCCCGAATTACTATGCTCTACACCTGGAACTAACACAATATTACAAATCAGCTATACTTCAATAAAAAAAATTAAAACAGAAATTAAAAACACCCAAACAGAAAACAGGAAGTCAAACGTTTAGAAAGTGAACATAAATGATGATCAGAGAGCTGGGTTATGATGGGAAGGAGAGAGAGGATGACAGCTATAGAGGGATGGGAGGCAAAAAGAAGTGTTTTTTTTAAACCCGTGGGAGAATGACTACGCTGAGAGTGATGGAGACAGAGGCTGAAGACACAAGAGACAGAGGGATGAAGGGAGGTGTCTGAGCACAGGGAAAGATGGTCAGATGCAGAAACCAGCAGAGGTGTTAGCCTTAGAGAGGAAACACTTTTCCCACTCCAGTGGTCAGGAAGGAGGTCGTCAGACACGGATCCAGGCAAGTGTGAGGGCTGTGGGGAGAGGAATCAGGACTTGGAGGGGATTTCTGCTCCACACCCTCCATTTTCTCCACGAAATAAGAGAACAGGATCGGGGTTGTCTGAGGATCACCAGTCCCCAGTGGAGGTCCTCCCCTCTGCTTCCCAGCCTGGACAGGGCTGGGGTTTTACTAAAGGGGGTGCTGGGCGAGGATTAAAAAAGAACAGATGGAAGTGCTGCACCGTGTGATCTAGACTGGTAAGGGAAGGCGCCGAAGAAAGGAGGGAGCTAGCACATTAGGAGAAATGGAGAGCATCCCTTAGCTGTGACTTTGGAACCTGGGCATGTCTTAGCGGAGATACTCTATCCCAACACATCTTGCACAATCGCTCAGAAGGCCCTGGCAGAGCAGTGTCAACCCAGTTCGTCGTGGATGCTGATGTAAAGCAAGCAGGGGAGAGCACTGCTCAAAAATCAGAACTCCCTACGTTGTCCCTGCATTCCCACTCTCTGTACATCCTTCCCCGGAAGACAAGACACGTTCCCTTTAAGTATTCCACTGCTGTTCTCTATAATGATAAAGACTCCCATAAACATTTTTTACTTTTCAAAGTATGTTCATTGCATTCAAGAAACTTTTTTATATGTTAAGACACATGTATTTGTTTATAAATGTTCATTGCTTCTAGGGTATGCCGCTTACAAAATCCTTGATAATTACATACTTCTGTCAATCTCCACCAACACGTCAATTCTTACAAAATCCCCTCAAAACTATGGAAGATAACTCTTTAAAAAATGGTGGGCTGCCATTTTGCTTCAATTGAGATATCTTGACATGCATTTAGGCACATACTAAGTTTTATCCAAATCAGCCAACTTCCTTTAAAGATTTTGTAGGGGAAATTAATTGAGTATTGAGCAATTCAGATGGAGACATAACTGTTATACATTTCATCAGTTAAGGGCTTTTACAAAAGTCTACGAAACCTCCATATTGCTATTTCAAAACTTTCACCTGAAGATGCTATTCTAACTAGAAATTGTTAAAAATAATCATCACAATGAGAGCGATAATCATAAGCAATTTGATACAGCAAAATTTCAATTGTACGCCTCTTTATATGATATAAAGAGAATTTAAGCTTAATATTTTAGAAAACTACTTTTGAGAGAGAGAACTTTTTGTACCTGGCAGTGAGTAAGGACATCCAGAATTGTTTTTTGTTGTTCTTCGTTGCAGGATGTGTTAGACACGACACTTCCCTGCTGCTATTTTAAAAATTGAGTAGTTAATACTTCACTTCTATGAAAGTCAAACTGAACAGTAAGTGGGGAAAAAACACTATTTATTTAACTTGTTTTTATTTTTCACCAGCTTTTCAAAGAGTTTCAGAAATATTAATCTAAAGCAGAGACAAAATAAAAAAAACTCATGTTAATATGAGAATGAAGATGATCACTGCTAATTAAGAAAGGGATTAAGGAAAGAATTTATTATATCAGAAGGACGGAGGTTTAGAGTTTTGCACTGAAAAAATGAGTAAAAACTGCTCTGAATTTTCTACAAGGAAAAGAGGCAAGTGAAATGGTTAATTGCTCATTGTCTAATGAAAGGAAGCAGACAAATTCAGGAGACACTAATATTTTCTTGAGCGTGAGTTTACAGGAACTCTATGAAGAATTTTTTCTTTAAAATGGTTAAGTGTTAATATATTTGGCAAATGGCAATTAACATTACTTACATTATTGAAATATGCAGTATTTGGTTCATATGCATAAAGAACAATGTTATCATCATCATAAGTAGAGATTCGTGTTCTTATCTAAGGAAAATTTATTAATAAATTAAAAGGAAAGATGATTGAACTTAAAAACTGAGGACTTCAATTTCACTTTCGAGAAGCTCCAAAAGCCAATTTGTGATATCAAGGGACCTCTGTAAATACTATGACTATAGGAAAAGATGTCCTTGCAAAACTGTTTTCTCATTAACTTAACCACACTTAAGACATCATTTTCCTCTTGTGTACCTCAGGGTAGGAAGACTATTCTTCTAGTAATTTGGCACCAGAACTGGTGTAAAAAGCAAGTATTTCTAACTACAAAGAATCCTTTTCATGGCTTTTGATTTTTAAATAGACCAACACTACCACTCTGTGGACAAAATAGGAAACACTTAAGCACCTATCTTCCCCCCCCCCCCCCATACTTGGAGGCTTGTGGGATCTTAGTTCCTCCACCAGGGATAGAATCTTGGAGTCCGAAGCACTGAACCACCAGGGGATTCCCCACACCTATGTTTCTTGATAAATTAATCTCTAAATCACCTAAAACATTTTGGGGGGAATAAGACAGGGCATAAATAAGTAAATAGACAGTAAACAGCCATTACATTTCATTTAATAACTCTTTATTCTAAGAATGGATTGTGAACTATAGGAATAATTTTAAACCTATGTAGAAGTATGTATGTCTGTTTCAAAAGACAAAATAATGTGGAATTGGGCTATATATTAATACTTATAAAAATATACCATGTTACCTTTATATAGGTATGCTTTGCAAAGTGCTTTCACATAATTATGTGAAAAGAATCAGAAAAAAAAAAGGACTCTTGGTAGGTAGTTAAAATTTAAAAACTTGCACACAAATGTTTATAGCAGCTTTATGCATCAGTGTCCAAAACTCATGAACTGTATATTTACAATCTCTGCATTTCACTGTACAAAATTCAGTTCAATTTAGAAAAAAAATAGAACACAATGAAAAGAACAAAGACAGACTTTCAATTTGAAATACAAACCACATCGACTTCACTGGAGCAGCTAGACATCTTTTTTGTGCAACCAGAGCAACTCCGCTTTCTCTGAGTTGGGCCTAATTATTTTTAAACTTGCTGGAGGGTTATTTGCGAAACTGCTTGGTCACCTAGGAGTGGTAAATCTTCAACTCCTGAAAAGCAACGCATAAAAATGTTACTTCACCCACTTATTGCCTTAATAAACTTAACATGGATATGTTCTCAGAATACCAACTCAAGTTGAGTTGGAGTCCTGGCTGAAGTTTAGAGAGCGACAAAATGAGAATTCTTCCATTAGTGATTTAGAATAAACCTTTAAAAACTGAAGGGCTTTATTGCCCACGCGTAGGAATAAGAATCCAGATCAAACACAGTTCCAAATTGTGAAGCGGATGCTCCACAACCTAAAGGCTACAGAGTAAGTGCTGGAGACAAATGAACAACAGAGCATGAGTCCTAACTGCTTTTGTCAAGGAGCTCAGAAGCTTTTTTACTCAGGGAGACTGTGGGCCTCCAAATGTGAGTCAGGAGTCTCTTCTGGCTTGGGCCGCCCACCACGGTGCGGCCTGGAAAGACCACTAAAGACATCGCCTCCTCCCCTGCTCGGTGAAAACTGGGTGAGGTTACGTCTAAGGTCATTTCAGTGCTTAAATTTTATATTATAAAATAAATAGTTAAATTTTATATTAAACCTAAAGGACTGTATGTGAAAAATAAGCCAAAAACTCTTCCAGAATTATGTAGGCTCGGTTATGGTTCTGAGTCATTCATCTCTGCCACCAGGAAGACACTGAGTGCAATGCTGTCATATCATATCTTGTAGTAGATTTGAACGCTGGCATCACAGTACTGGGAGGGGTGTTAATGAGAGAGCTAGGTTCCCTTTATCCATCCTGAGCCAGGGCAGGAATGAGAGGCAAAATGAAGGGAAAAGTAACTCTCAAGTTAGACAAATGCAGTCTAATAATGTGGAATAAATTCAAGTTATTAAATACCTCCAATTTGAGCTGTAACTTGAACCAAATTTTACTTTTTTAGACTATGTTTATTTTTTCTGATTATACAACTAATACAAGTTATGAATACTTAAACTGGTGTTCTCATACAAAGGAGGAACTACACAGCTATGAGAATAAACCAATTATTGCTACACACAACGAGGAGGACGAATCTCAGGAATCTCAAAACTACAACCTTGAGTAAAAGCCAGACCCAGAAAAGAATACAGTGTATGAGCTCAAAAAGAGGCAAAAGTAAAAGAAGTCTTTCTAAATTAATGACTTTAGATATACCATAGTCACTTCAACTTCTTCGTTTCCTATCTTGCAAATAGGCCATGATTTATTTAACTAGTCCCAAGTCATGGATATTCAAAAGTCACTCCTCAAGTCTTGCTCTTACAAAGAACACTGCAGAGCAGGCTCCCACCTCCACCTGAACTCACACAGAAAGAGAATAGTGAGTTAAAGTTTCCCAACTCTAGGGACCATTTCTTATACTCTGACTGTATTTCTAAGAACTTTGTTTTAGAGGTTTAAATATATAATTTTTCTTTAAATTTGAACTATACCACAAAGTATAGATAATAGCATCTAACAGATTTTACTGCTTACTCTGTGTCAGGCAATGTTCTAAGCACGTGCTTTATGTTAATTCATTTAGCATTCCTGACAACCCTACAGGGCAGGCTCTATCATCATCCCCATTTTCCTTAAGAGAAAACTGAGGCAAAGAGACTTTAAGTAACCGACCCAGGTCTCATAGTAAGTAGTGCAGTAGGACTCCAGAGTCTATGCGCTTTACTTCTTCATTATTAAAATCACCTGGAATCCCTTTTCTACCAAGAACAAAATAAAATCCAAAACGCCTACCATGGCCTACAAGGTCTTTACAGTCAGGTGCCTCCACACTGCTCAGAGGTCACCTCTTATCACTTGTCCCTTTGCTCTAAGCCTAAGATACTTACTAGCTGGCCTTTTATAAACAAAGTTTGCCAACCACTGTTAGAGACTCTGACAGACAGTTCCCTAATGGCTTAATTACAGTGCTGCTAAAAGTCGGCAAAAACCACTACTCGGCAAAACAGGGCAGATTGCAATAGCCAGACCCCTCCACATTTTATTTTAAACAAGACCATGTCAATACACTGATCACTTTCTAAAAATCCTGTCAGGACTCTCAAAAGCAGCCGTATCAAACTGCAGCGGCTACAAAGTCGGCCAGACGGCGGAGGTGGGGCGGGGATAATGCCGTCCAAACTGTATCCCCATCACTCATCAGGGAATCGAGCCCATGCCCTGCTTTATAAAACACCGTGCAGAAAAGTTGCTCGTTAAATCACAATTTGTAAACGTTAAGCCAGTTTAAAACTCTAGAGCAGTTCGACTTCAGGGAGAGCCAGGTAAAGGGGCGGAAGCGATCCCCAAGAGACGAAGATATCAAACTACCGTGCTCAATCCACATCTTTATTTTGTTTAGCCTCGCATACGTATTTACAACAGTGAGGCTGCACTGTCTTTGACCAACCGCGGTTACCATCAAAGCCTCAGAATCAACGTCTGCATCTCAAAAAATGTTACAACGAACCAACTCGCTAGTTAATAGATTTTCCAAACTCAAAATTCTAACAAGTCTGAGAGACTTGGTCGTTCGTCGCCCCCTCACCCACCAAGGAAGAGAAAGGATGAAAAAGGATCAGCTCTTAGAAAGTCGGCACAAACTACTCAATAAGGAGCCACATCTCAAGCGCCTACGCGCTGGCATCCCGGGAGGGGCGGTGGGAACCACTCCGAATCATCCCAAACCACCCCAAATGCAGCGCGGCTGAAACTCCAGAGTAGACTCGGTCTTTCCGAAAAGGCAAACCCTTTCTCTTCCCTCAGGCAAACCCTTCTCCCCCGCCACCGCGCTCCGGAGCGCCACAGCCGTGAAGTAAAATCCCTCCTCACCTGCTTCAGGCGCACAACTAAGACAAGAAAGTTCAAAGGGAAGAAAAAGTGTCACTTGACAGACCTTTGCTGGCGCAGAGCCCGCCAAATCGGCCTCCGGAGGGCGCCGGACGCAGGTAGCGATGGCGCCTCTGCCCAGGCGGCAACCGGTGTAACGGTTATCAACGCCTCGCCTCAAACGTTCCTCGCGCCGGAAATAGGGCCCAATCACGTGACGCGCCGGCCGCGAGCCCCACGGAAGCTGAGGCGCGACGCTCGTACCTGTGAGCCCCGGAATACTTAGGTTCCCACGCGCGCAGCCGGTCGCTGACCAATCAGCGGCCGCTACAAGACACGCCTGGGCCGTCAGCCGACCAATCCAGCGGACCTCTGAGCCGTTGCAGGGGAGCGGGCGTTGCTAGAGCGACTGCCAAGGGGAGAGGCTTTGGTTCCCTCGGGGCGGCCGCACTTCCGGCCTCCGAGCCCCTGTAGCTCGGCGTTGTTCGCGGGGTCTGGTGGGATCGGAGCCCCGCGCTAGACTGAAAACACGAGCCTCTAAGGCTGAGAGGCGTTTAGCGCGGCTGCGCAGGAGCGCCGGCGCGCGCGACTCTTTCTGTGTTGGCGCGGGCTTAAGGAGGCGGCTCCGGGGGGTGAGGCGTTTAGGTGCGTGGCCTCCCCCCTCTCGGTTAGTTCTTTGAAGCTTTTTTTTTTTTTTTTAATGTAATTTCCCCCTTTTCCTCCTTCCTCCCCGTCACTGTGTGACGCACCCCAGACGTCGACATTGACTCCATCCTAGGCGTGCACGTCAGTGCTGGAATTCGAAGGGGGCGGGAGCGGGAGCGGGGCTTTAGCAATTGTGGTTTGGTACATACCGGGAAAAGTTATTTTAAAAAGTTGTTATCTCCCCACAGGGTGAGGTAACACAGACCTTGGAGCCAGATTTGCTGGGTTTGTACCCCAGCCCCGACAGTTAAGCGCTCTATGGCTTTGGGCAACTCAGGTAAATGGCTCTGTGCTTCAGTTTCCCCATCTGTAAAATGGGCACAACGTGGGGGGGGGTGCTTCATGAGTTAGAGTAGGCAAAGCACTTAGAACAGTATCTGGCACATAAATTTGCGTAATAAAGGGTACATGCCATTACTTAGTGGCACATCGAGGTTGTTCATCTGAGGAAGGAGGCACAGTCTGAGTAATTATCAGAAGCAAAGCAGGTAACTTTAAAGTAAAGCCATAAATATTTTTCTGGCCTGGAGAGGTACAGGAAAGTATACTGGACATTGGAAATGTATTCTTTCTTCTCTCAAATACAAAGCAAGATTGGAGCCGGTTACAGAGATAGTATTCATTATTATCGTTATTTTGCTCATACTTTTGCCATAGCAGTTCCCCTCCCATATGTCCAGACCCCTATAAAACACTTGCCGTTTGTTAAACCTCAGGAGTGCAATTACATAGCAATGAAGAGAGCAGCCAGTTGTTTAATTGCAGTCACGTTTATTTGCAGTTTCTATACACACTTTCTAGGTAATCAAACTTTTCTGGTACATTTTTTTTGAGAGGGGTTCACAATGAAACTGTCACCATTTTTACTAAAAATAAATACAAGACTTAAAGTGTTGCACAGCTCTAAAATATACAAAGCCTTGAATTGAATGTAAACGTTGAAAACATCTTACAAAAGAAACCGTTTTTGCAACGATTTAAAAAGTTCATATTTACAAATATTACAAAAATACAAAATGGAGGCAAGTCCATAAACCATTGTCTTTCGGCCAGCATGAACTGGTTCTAGTACCAAAAGAGTTACACTGTAACCTTCCTCATAGTTGTAAATCTTTGTCGTGATCTAGTTCTTTCAGTCTGCCACCACTGCAGCAAATGTACTCACTGAACTTTGGCAAGAGCAAACGGTGTGTTTTGTTTGCTGCAACTGGTCCGTGTCCTCTACTTAGCCAAAAAAAAAATCAAAAAATAAAAAAAATCAGGAAAAAAAATTTCCCCCACACAACATAGACATGTTGTATAAACACAAAAGAAGAAAAAATTAGCATCAGTGCAAACAACAGAAGAAAAGTTTGGGTTGATGTTCACAATACCTAATGTGTG